ATTCGCCCCACCCGAGTGTTGAATGTTGAATGCAAGTTGTGTTTTTTATTACTCTATTTTGTTCACATATTGTTTATTTTGAATTCACCCCCTCCCTAATGATTGTAAGCCGCCCTGAGTCCCCTCAGGGAAAAGGGCGGCCTATAAATCTTAATAAAATAAAAATAAAATAAATAAATAAATAAATAAATCTCCTACGGTAGTGACCGGTTCCCCAGAGGAGGTCCTCGGCCTGAGGATAAGCGGTTCAAACAAACACTTGTCAAGGGCCACCAGGCTTCGACCTAGTCATCCCGGGATTCTACATCAGCTTCTTTCTTCAGCAGGGCCGCCTTACTGTGGTTAAGGCAATTGCAGGATAGACTTCCTACAAGTGATTCTAGATCTCAATGAGATATTAATAAGATAAAAGCAGCTATAGAATTGTCCGCTGATGCATTCCTAAACGTGGCCAATTTTGCATCCAAATCCACTGCATCTTCTGTTTCTACCAGGCATCTCCTTTGGCTTAAACAATGGCAGGCAGACGGCAGAGCCAAGTGGAGACTGCCATCGTCTCCTTTTTCCGGGGATTGTTTGTTTGGGGCTCCTCTGGAGCCACTGCTTATCAAGTCCCATGACAAGCGTAAGATCCTACTGTCCCTTTTTTGCAAGTCTGAAGGCAGAACCTCCCCATATTACAGGCGATTGCCCTTTCAAGGGCTGGATGGGGGGAGGGGGTTTCTCTGCTTCCTGTCCTCAACACCAGCCCACCTCCAGACAGAGCCAACAACCCCAAGATAGAACAGGTCAGCGGTTTCCCTCTAGGAAATCATTCAGGGGAGGGGCTAGCCACCCGTTGAGATGCCAAAGGTGACTGGAGAGCGTTCCCATTGGGGGTCGCCTTTCGACCTTTGCCTGGGTCAGGGCCACAATAAGATTCGGCCTATCCCTAGAATTCCTCTCCCCCCCCCCCAACGGATCGTCAAAAGAGACTCCTCGTGGAACAGGCGATCCTGCATCTGCTGAAGATTTGAGCCATCCAACCGGTTCCATCGGATCAGGTAGGAAAGGGGTTTTACTCCCACCTTCTTGTAGTTTCAAAGGCATCGGGGTTGGAGAGCGATTCTCGACCTGAAAACTCTGAACCATCACATCAAGTACTGGTGGTTCAAAATGCACTCCTTTCAGACCATTCTGGAGGGAGTCCACTGGGGCGACTTCCTCACATCAGTGGACCACTGTTCCCTCTAAGGTGCGCGGCTGTGCGGCCGCGCATGTGGCAAGAAAACACCGCAGAGCCGTTTCTAACTGCGCGCAGTGATTTTTGTCACAGGCTCCGGAAGCTGAGGGGAATATCTGCTGCCGCCTCCTCCTCCTCCAACAGCACTGCCGGATTTGCCGCCAACGCTGCAGCTGAGGTNGATTGAAGAAAAACAGTACAATAATGCAGACTGCCACCTCCTCTGATCAAAAATCTCAGCCCCCTGATTGGCCTGTAGCTCCTATGCTTTACTATATGGCAGCCATCTGAGATGGTACTTCCAGATATGTGGGAATTGTATCTGGCTGAGAATTCTGGAATTACAGATCAACTCATTTAGACAACAATAGGTTGGGGAAGGTTTTGCTTTTTCATGCTGTTTCAAGAAGCGTGTGTGGTAGTTTGTCATTATCTGTTGGCATTTATCTGACCACTTTCCTCCTTAGATTTTTTTTACTTGTCTCATAATAGTTAAGTATTCAGTACCATGCAGATACCCAGATGATTGTGTATGGAGTTGGGAAGACCCCATGTTTCATTCCTTGTTTCTCATTTCCAGGTAAGAGTAAAGAAGCTGAAATTAAACGAATTAACAAGGAGTTGGCCAATATCCGATCCAAATTTAAGGGTGAGTTCTTGCACTAGGTTTTTTTCCTCCTTCTTCCTTTTGCTATTTTGCAGTATAAGACAGCTTTTTTTCACCACAAATCCCTGCAGCAGCTCTATCAGTGACTCAGCCCAGTTTACTCACTGTCTCTTGTTTTTGTTCTCTCTCCCTTGACAACCAGGCACTTTCTCTAGCACTTTCCAGGCTGGTTTAGATACTGTAATCTATCTTTTATTATACATCCCATTGATGCTTCATAGAAAGTAACTGTGTAACAGGTCTGTGGGCAGCAGATGAAAACCAGCCCTAGACTCAAGGTTGAAATGCTGAAAAGTTAACCTGTTCCAGCTGAAACAATGTAATGAAGTAGAAAATATCTGATTTTAGGCAGTGTTGACTGTAACAAACCTCAATGACATCAAAATGATGACATGCATGTTACAATCATCATCTTGCAAATGCTATGATTACTTGTGTCATACATCTGACAAGTATATAGGTTGTGGATTTTGTGTGATAACATCATCACACATGTGCCATAATTTGTTCTTCCTGTGGGTGCCTATAATTCTAAGTCTTCAAATTGAATCAGGAGTTTCCTATTTCTTCTCATTCTAGGTGTTGCTTGTGTCAGTACCCCGTATAGCACTATAAAGTTAATTCCCATCTAATGAAACTGGGAGTTATTTCTCCCAGAAGCCATTTCCTTTTAGCCCACTAGATGCAACTCTGTCCCGCCTTGATCTCAATATTTGCTATCAATTTCCATAGATCTGAAACCTTTGCAGCACAATTCATATTGTTCTGGAGAGGAGCTCCTCCTCCTCCTTCATCATTCCCTATAAAATAAGGCAGAAGTGCTTCAGTTTTGATCAGCAGGCTTTAACAAGTGCCATTGTGTTATCGCTAAGGTCAGGCCATTAAATCAGGGAAGATGGCTTTTTGGAATGCATAGCTCATGCCAAAAGTCTAGCTAAAGGCAGGAATAAGACCCCCAAAGAAGAAAGGACCAGGAAGCTCATTTACTTCAAACAAAATCCTCTTACTCAGAGTAGACAGTTCTACTCTTGAAAACCAGCCCAGTACATTTGGGGATAGAACAAAGAGAGTAAATTGATCTGACAGATATATGCTAATTCATTCTTCAGATTTCCTAATAATAAATATCTTTATCCCTCTGCGTTTGAATCTACTTCAATAGATCTAAACATCCATCTCCATATATGCACACACGAAAATCTAGCAATTTTATTTCCTGGTTTATGTAAGTCCCTCTTATTCTTCTCCCAAACTGATCATAATTGTATTATCATTATTCTGCCAATTTATGTGAGGGTTCCACTTCCGGAGCCAAGGGAGGCCTAAAATTAGTGGCCTGTCCATGCCAGGCGCAACTACAAAAGAAATCAGTTCAGAATGGGAAGCCATCTTCATCTCCAAGGGCTCCGTAAAAAAATGGGCGGGTCCCCCCCCTGCAATGGATCCATCTATCTGGCAAAACACAACCGGGGTTTTCAAAGTGCGCAATTTGAGGCCNTTCAGGTGCTCAGGCATGAAAATGTGCTGCTCAAACACTATACTTTTCTGCTCACACCGAAAAAAATTAGAGGGAACATTGCAGTGGACCTCACAGAGGCCTATCTTCATGTGCTTATCCTCCCCAGTCACAGACAGTTTTTCTGTTTTTCTTATGTGGGGAAACATTTTCAGTACAGGGCCCTTCCATTCGGCCTGTCATCAGCACCCAGTGTATTTACCAAGGTCCTAGCAGTAATAGCCGCCCATCTCCGTACCAGACCCATCAGGATCCAGTGCTATCTGGATGACATCCTGATCCAGTCCAGATCAATCAGCCAAGCAGAAAGGGATCTTGATGCCACTCTCCAGGTTTTTCGGGATCACGGGTTCTCCATCAATATGGATAAAAGCCATCTCATTCCAACAACCCGTCTTCTGCATCTGGGGGCACTAATAGACACAGTGCAGGGCAAGGTTTTCCTCTCCCCAGAACGACTTGTCAGTCTGCAAAATCTGGCAACCGAGGTGCAAAGGCGTCTAAGGGTTCAGCTCCTTCTCCTGTCACAACTTCTGGGGAAGATGGTGTCCTGTTTCACAATCGTCCCTTGGTCTCGTCTCCACAGCTGTCAACTCCATTTGTTCCTTCTTCCTCCTCAGAAGGCCAAGCAAAGATGCTCACCATGCCAAGTGGAGGTTCAGCAAGAGGTAATCAGGTCCCTGGGCTGGTGGCTTTCTCGGGCCCTTTCCAGGGGATCCCTGTTCAGAAAACCGGACCGTTTGACCCTCACGAGAGATGCCAGTCTGGTCAGTTGGGGGACACATCTACAATCACAGATGGCGCAGGACCTGTGGTCGCAGGCGGAGCTCAGCCACAGCATAAATTGGATGGAATTGCGAGCGGTCCATCTCGCCCTCCTGCACTTCCAAGACTCAGTAAGCGACACCCACCTTCGTGTCCTCACAGACAACACAACCACAAAGGCTCATATCAACCGCCAGGGAGGGACTCGGTCCCGATCCCTCATGGAAGAGGCAAATCTCCTGGGCAATTGGGCAGAAGCCCACCTCTTATCTCTCCGAGCAGAGCACATCTTGGGGGTGGACAATGTCCAGGCGGACTGGCTCAGCCGATCCCAGGTGGTTCACACGGAGTGGAATATTCACAGAGACCTGTTTCTAGACCTGACCATCAATTACAGATGCCCAGTTCTTGAACTATTCGCCACGCCTCTCAACAACCAGCTGCCCAGATACTTCATGAGGTATGCGACCCTGGGGGCAGTGGGGGTAGACGCTCTCCACTGTTGGTGCCCAGCAGGTTTTCTGTATGTCTGCCCCCCACTTCTGCTGATTCAGAGGGTTGTTGGGAAGATGCTAGATGAGGAGGCGGAACTTCTGCTCCAGGCTCCCAACTGGCCCCGCCAACCTTGGTTCGCAGACCTGGTGAACCTTTCCATACAGCTTCCCTGGCTAATCCCTACCACTAGGATTTCACTCAGCCAGGGCTCTCTTCTCCACCCGGACCCGCAGTGGCTGCAGTTGACCACCTGGAGATTGCGCGGGAGGCTCTGAGAGCTGCTAATCTTTCCACTAAGGTCATTCAAACTATCCAGGCTTCTCGGCGTGCCTCTACTAACTGCATATATGGCGCCACATGGAGGGCCTTCTCCACATGGTGCTCGAGCCATGCCATCTCTTCAGCCACTGAAATGGTTCCCTCTGTTTTGGAATTCCTTCAACACTGCTTCGACAACAGCCTTTCACCTAACACGCTCAAAAGGCAAGTGGTTGCTCTATCATCTGTTCTAGTGTCCTCTTTCAAGTCACTCTCACATCACCCTCTATGCTTCCTCCAAGGTGCCACCAACATCAGGCCACCCATTATCCACAGGTTTCCAACGTGGGAATTGGCCAGGGTTCTGGACACCATCACTGGTCCGCCCTTTGAGCCGTTGTGGACGTCCAGCATGCGATATCTATCCCTCAAGGTGGCGTTCCTGGTGGCCATCATGTCCGCAAGGGGGATTTTGGAGCTTGCGGCCTTGTCTGTGAGGCAAGACCTCTGCGTTTTCCACATGGACAGGGTGGTGCTTAGACTCGATCCTGCTTTCATTCCCAAGGTCAACTCCAGATTTCATAGGTCCCAAGAATTGGTCCTGCCCAATTTTATTTTGGCTACATCACATTCTACACCATGTTATCCCCCCTCCCAGTTCCGCACTATAGAAACAGCATAGTAAAATAGAAGTGTGGCAGGCCAAAGATCCAAAAGGAATGTGGCTGCAGGCCTGACACGGAGGTGTTGTTTATTTCTTTTCAACCGGCTAATCTCAGCGCCAGGGCCTCCTCGCAATCCATCGGTCAAGGATCAGAGCTTGTATTACTAGAGCTTACATAACTCATTCTCTACCACCACCCCGACACATCACGGCCCATTCTACCAGGAGTGCGGCCACCACTGCAGCGTGGTCCACTCAGGCATCCGTCAAGGAAATGTGTAGGGCGGCCACCTGGACTTCTCCCTCCCCATTCATACGCCATTATAGGCTAGATAGGTATGCTTTGGCGGAAGCTGCATTTGGTAGGAGGGTATTACAGCAGGTTTATTCAGTACAGGAGCCTTAGGTCCGGACGTCGGCTTCGTTATGTCCCATTCCTGGATGCTATCTCCACCAACTATAGAGAATGGGCATTGGTTCTTACCTGAGATGCCTGTTCTCAGGGCAGTGGAGATAGCATCCAGCCCCACCCTTCATGTAGTTCGGACTGAAATTGCGGGGAGTAAGAGGAGTAGAACAGAATGAGAGGGAGAGATAACAAATGAGAAACACAGTCATTTCACCTACCACGTCAGTCAGTTCACCTTCGTCAAAAACTGGGAGGAGCTGGCAGAGGAGGTGTGATGTCACAGCTGTAGACTCAGTCCTATTGGATACTGGATGGAGTTAACCCATTCCTGGATGCTATCTCCATCGTCCTGAGAATGGGCGTCTCAGGTAAGGTTTGTCAAGTAGTTATAAGCCTCCCTTTTTATCATGGATTTCTCTACCTTGTTAATGTCCTTAAAGAAAAAGTCCCAAATTTGTCTTTTTTCTTGACACTCGTCTTTCAGTTGTGTTGAGAGATTTATATTTAAACCATCATAAAAAAGTTAATATCAGGTTTATATTCCAAAATTGCAATGAACTCCTCTGCATTTTTAGCTACTTGTGAAGTTGCCTCTGTAGTTTGGTAACTTTCTCCACATATTTGCATCTCTAAAGTAATTTGAGAGGTTTTTTTTAAATCATCCTTGGAGCACAGCTGGTCAACAAATTGGTGAAATTTATTTAGAGACCTTTCAAATATATCTCTAATACTTTGCTCCTCCATCTTGGCTCCATCTTTGATCAGGATCAGAAAATTTTAGCCACCCACAGCAAAGAAGACCAAGCTACAAGTCACTACAATAATAAACTAAAATCACAGTTTTTAGTTTTCTCTGTCAACTCTTTTTCTTTGCT